CCAGAATTACAGAAACCATCACGGCTTCTGACTGGAATGCTGGGATGTCTCATTTTGGCTCCTGTGAGAGCACAGTCCCAAAAGATGCACATTGCGGGGGGGGGACGTGTTCTCCCATGAGTTGTCTGGCTCCTGCAAGATGGTGGACCTGAAAGGAAGCCATTTTGGGGGCTGTGCTCTTGCACAAGTTCCCTGGCTCCTGTGAGATGACAGCCACAAAAGACACCTGTTGGGGGAAGAGGCTGTGGAGTCCCACAAGTTGGCTACCTCCCACAAGATCACAGCCCCGAAAGACACACAGCCTGATTTTCCTCTGAGGCATGTTGAAGAGTATGGAATAAAATCAGACCTCCAATTTTGGAGAACTGGCAGACCAAAGTTTGAGTCATTGCCTGTGTGGTTGAGTTGACCAGTGTGTTCTGGACCTGATAGGATAGACAGTTTTGTTGAAAATGTGACCTTTTTATCATGTATGATGAGGTACAAGGAAATTTAAATCCATATGCTTTGTTGGGAAAACTGTGAGATATTCAGTTACAAACTTAGTGAAGTATCTTGGAATATTAGTCATTATTAATTTCATTAAATGTATCAGATTTTTCAAGTTTTGGGGTTTTTTAGCACACTGCTAAATAAAAAACAATAACTATCTGCAGTGGAAGCTTTGTATGTCGTGACATCTTCTCGAATTTTAGCCTGTATTAACCACTTGGTCTAAAGGGGTAGGAGGTGAATTTTCAGAAGGCAAACTCCTCAAATAAAATAACAAGCTGGGTGTTTACCACCACCCCAAGTATTTTTGCCAGTAATGTGGAAAAAGAATGTTCATTTGTGGAAAGTTGTTGAGGATACACAGCCCAAGGCTGTCCAGAAGGTATGTCCATCCTTAAGGCTTTCAAGTGACTAAGGGCTGTTTCTGCGTGTCATTCCCAGGTCTGAAAACAGCCTGGCAATAGTTAGTGCACACATCTATTTCAGTTATAGGAGTGCCATGTGGGGTCATTCCTATGTCACATAAACATAATGTGGGAAGCTGCTCTCATGCTGCTCCATAATTATGCTGTAGACCTTGTATACTTTTTCTAGCTTCCAGAACAGACCATAGACTGATTTGACCCCTTAACGCTCCATTCTTTTGTCTGCCTGCCATTTTTTCAGGGGCTAAATATAAATTGCAGAAAGCTCCTATCTCCTAGCCTTTGTGGTGTTTGGAAATGAACTTAAATGAGGTTCACCCATTGCTGGTTAAAAATCTCAGCCATTTAAAATGATCCTTTCTAATTCTGGTGCTCCCTTCGGTAGAAACATCTATCCACAGTGGCAGGTATAATGATGATTTCAGTCTGTACAAGGAATGGTTATTTATCATCATCGCTTCTCTCTCCTCCTCCCCACCCTGCTGTCGGCCGGTCGCCTCCTTATGCAAATACCCCGCTCCATCTCAAAAGGGATTCGAAGCTATAAATAAAACACAAGAAGCTATTTTGGAGGAAAGAAACACTTCTTGTTCCTTTGTGTAAATATCTATTATCTCCCCCCATTTATTTCAGCTTATCTAATCTCTGCAATAAATTCCCAAGCTATGGCCAAATAATTTCATTCAGCTTCTACCAAGAGCTTGGGAACACAATGTGCAGGCTCTCTTTTGGGAGTGGGAGTCACCGGCCCCAGATAGTCTGACAAATTTGTGGAGGATAAGCAGCTACCAGCCACAATGGCTATACTCTGCCTCCACAGTTGGAGACAGCGATGCTTTTGACTGTCAAGGCTACAGGGGAAGAGAGGGCTCTTGTGCTTGGCTCCCGCTTGAACATCTTGGTAGCCACTGTGATGCTGGACTAGACAGGCCATTGGCCTAATCAAGCAGGCTCATCTTACATTCTTAGGACACACTTTGTTATGGTCCTCTCATTAAAGGAAAAGTAAAGAACCCCTGGATGGTTAAGTCCAGTCAAAGGCGACCATGGGGCTGCAACGCTCATCTCGCTTTCAGGCCAAGGGAGCCAGCGTCTGTCCACAGCATGGGCAAGCAAACTAAGGCCCGGGGGCCAGAACCAGCCCAATCACCTTCTAAATCCGGCCTGCAGACAGCCCGGGAATCAGCATGTTTTTACATGAGTAGAATGTGTGCTTTTATTTAAAATGCATCTCTAGGTTATTTGTGGGGCCTGCCTGGTGTTTTTACATGAGCAGAATGTGTGCTTTTATTTAAAATGCATCTCTGGGTTATTTGTGGGGCATAGGAATTCGTTCTTTTTTTTTCTTTTTCAAAATGTAGTCCGGCCCCCCACAAGGTCTAATGGACAGTAGACCGGTCCCTGCTGAAAAGGTTTGCTGACCTCTGGTCCACAGACAGCTTTCCAGGTCATGTGGCCAGCATGACTAAACCGCTTCTGGCACAACAGAACACCGTAACAGAAACCAGAGTACATGGAAATGCCATTTACCTTCCCGCCACAGTGGTGCCTATTTATCTACTGGGACTTGCGTGCTTTTGAACTGCTAGGTTCGCAGGAGCTGGGACAGAGCAATGGGAGCTCACTCCGTCATGGGGTTTTCGAACCGCCGACCTTCTGATCGGCAAGAGGCTCAGTGGTTTAGACCGCAGCCCCACCCGCATCTCAGTAAGCAGATCCGATTCCCTCATGCTTTCACTTGGAGTGACTCAAAGTAACTCAATGGGGGTTCAAACCAAAAAAATCATTGTGAGCATGTTCACGCACATGCTGTGTGAGGTTTTTTCTCCTGCCACACCACAGCCCTATGTGCCCCACATATTTTACCATGAGCCACTCCCTGCTGCTTGAATGCATATATGTTACATTGTGTCTGAGTGTATTTTTCAGTACAGTGGTACCTCGGGTTACAGACGCTTCAGGTTACAGATGCTTCAGGTTACAGACTCCGCTAATCCAGAAATAGTACCTCGGGTTAAAAACTTTACCTCAGGATGAGAACAGAAATCGCGTAGCAGTGGCGTGGCAGCAGCAGGAGGCCCCATTAGCTAAAGTGGTACCTCAGGTTAAGAACAGTTTCAGGTTAAGAATGGACCTCCAGAATGAATTAAGTTCTTAACCTGAGGTACCACTGTACTTCTGCTTTATGGTGGAATGGCTGGATCCACTGTTAGTAGCCATGAGCAGGGCAATGTCATGAAACCAGCCAAATGGAGGGTAACTTCAGTGCTCCTGGGGCTGCAAAATGGGCCCATCCAATGTGTAGCAATGTTGCACTGTCCTGCATTTCAAAGGGCTACAAATTGCCTGTGGAGCTCATCTGGTCCCACCTTAAAACACATTTTGGAAACTTCATATACTTCAAAAGGCCATTGTCAGCATGCTGGATGGAGCCCAGAGATTCAGCTATTGGTTTCCAGGTGCAAAGAAGCTACCCTTTCATAAAGCCCCAATTGGCCTAGGCCTGGGATACCTCAGGAACTGCATTCTTCCTTTACAAACAGGCCCAAGATCTGGGAGTTGTTTCAGAGGCTCTGCTCTTCGTTGCCACCAGAGGTTCAGTGGAAAGGTTTATTGGAGGAGGTGTTTAGTTTAATTCATTAATAGCTTAATTCATTAATTTATGCAGTGGGGTGATGCTTCGGTAACACATACACATTTAAAAGCATGAGGGAGTTGTGGGGCCATGTGGGCTAGTATTTCCCCTGCTAATGTTGTGCCTGGAGGCCATGCATCTGTGCATTCAGTCTGAAGGGTCTCTATGTGCGTATTGGACTTATGCACACAGAACATAGATCCTTGGATCCTGATTAGGCATTGCAGTGCTGGTTATGTGTTCTTTACATGCAGGGGATGATTACCATCTCAACCTTCCTATTGTAACACGTGTAGGCTCTGTTAACAACTTGAATGCGTGGAAGTCACGGCCTCCATGTGTCCCTATCCATGCGTATGTGATATAAATAGGGACTCAGCAGACCTGCCAAAATATTGATTTGCCGAAAGTGCAGTATGTGAAGTTACAGAAGCGCTATCATATCACAAAGGAAACAATCGGAGCACGGTCAAGATCATGGCGAAGGTCAAGGTGGCCTCAGGAATATTGACTTTCAGCTAGGGATTATCACGCTGGCTCTTGAGGGAGAAGCCACAACAAGCCCACATCCTTTCCTTGCTGCTGATAACAGCAGATAAAGCGAATGGAAACTCGCATGCCAGATTACACACTTGTAGCTGACTCTATAAGCAGCAAGTTCAGGAGGTTGTTAGCAAAGAAATGTCAACGCAGAGCTATAAAGAACACCACCCTTGGGAATGGTGCTTTAAATACTCTCCAGAGCTCCAATGAGCTTCTTTTCCCAGGATGGGGACTTTGCTGTCTAAAGAGTCCTTTGCGGGTTTCTTTCTTGCTTTAATCTTTTTTTAAAATATAAGAACCTTAAGGTACAGTCATACGAGAAGGCTGGGGGGGGGGGAATCAGGATTCATCTATGGTGCCAAGAGAAAACAGAACAGGGTAATTGCTAGAGGTGGTGGACCTGTGGCCATTCAAATGGTGTTAAACTACAACCTGCGTTATCCTAAACCATTGATCGTGCTGGCTGGGGCCACAAGTGCCCCATTCCTGTGCTAGAGTAAGGTTGGAATCCTATATACACTGACTAGGGAGTAAGCCCTATTGGGTACAATGGAACTTACTTTTTAGAATTGCGCTGCCTAGAAGTCAGCCCTATCGATACCAATTAATGTCTGACTAAACCTGGATAGATTTATTAACTGAACAATGCTAATCTGAAGATCCAATCAAGACCAGCACTTACCATGCCAAATCCTGACCAGTGTACTAACATCCATGGGATCCCTCGTTCAAGGTTCAAATTTGCTCAGCAGCAACCCAGTTAGGCCTAAAAAGTGAAAACCACAAACTCAAGGTTACAACTGGAACGGATCACTCAGTTTATTAGTGTACAAAGCTTAACAGTGTTATAAAAGCTTTCAGAGTTTATAAAAAATAAAATGTTGTTGTTGTTTAGTCATGTCCGACTCTTCATGACCCCATGGACCAGAGCACGCCAGGCACTCCTGTCTTCCACTGCCTCCCGCAGTTTGGTCAAACTCATGCTGGTAGCTTCAAGAACACTATCCAACCATCTCGTCCTCTGTTGTCCCCTTCTCCTTGTGCCCTCCATCTTTCCCAACATCAGGGTCTTTTCCAGGGAGTCTTCTCTTCTCATGAGGTGGCCAAAGTATTGGAGCCTCAGCTTCAGGATCTGTCCTTCCAGTGAGCACTCAGGGCTGATTTCCTTAAGAATGGATAGGTCTGATCTTCTTGCAGTCCATGGGACTCTCAAGAGTCTCCTCCAGCACCATAATTCAAAAGCATCAATTCTTCTGCGATCAGCCTTCTTTATAAGTTACATTAAAAAATTGAAAATAAAGCAACTGACATATGATGAAATTTTAAGCAACTTAAAGCAATTTGATACATTTGTATGAAGTGCTTAACCTCCTCCCAACCCCCTGCAGCCCATCTAGTTGGGAAACAATTCTAAGTTACCTAAGATCAATGAAATTCATAGTTACCAATCCAAGGCAATCGGCTGGGCCTTGTGGTCTTCAGTTGGGTGCAGCAAGGCAGGTAGCAAGAAAGAAAACGAAAGAAAAACCATACTATTCCTCTCTGATAAGAAATAGCTCAAAAAACTAAATACACATTTTATATTACTGAATAAATGGACCGGGGGGCTGGACCTTTCCATTAAATGTTGCATTAATTTCATTACTTGCTTTGGAAGACAACCCACATAAGACATGGACTATGAGTAACCATAGTCTATCCTGAAGGGGGGCAAGAGTGGCCAGGACCCCTGCTTCAGCAGCAGCTCTCTACCCATGGCACTCTGGCACACTTCAGCACTTCCTTGCCAAAACGTGTTATGCCTTCACCTTTGTTTTGGCTTAATGACTCCTTTTCTGCTGCTCTTATCATCCTTCAGGATGCCAACATTCTGGCAATTGGCAAAATCTAGCGTGGCGTTCCAAGCAGTTTGCACAAAAACAATGCAAGGCATAAAATGGGGCCATCCATCTTCATCAATCATGGCTGCTCTAACTGTGTGCATTAAACTGACAGTAACTGCTGGTTGTGTAGGCCTAGCAGGGTGCAGATTAACACATGACCCTCTGCAAGTTCTAACTGGGGACCCACAGACCAGGCTGGACTTTTGAGGCCACTCTATCTGCTTATTTATTTAATAATAATAATAATAATAATAATAATAAGTATTATTATTATTTATTTATACCCCACCCATCTGGCTGGGTTTCCCCAGCCACTCTGGGCGACTTCCAATTGTATTGTAAAATACAATAACCTATGAAACAATAAAAGCTTCCCTAAACAGGGCTGCCTCCAGATGTCTTCTAAAAGTTTGGTAGTTATTTTTCTCTTTGACATCTGGTGGGAGGGCGTTCCACAGGGTGGGTGCCACTACCGAGAAGACCCTCTGCCTGGTTCCCTGTAACTTGGCTTCTTGTAGTGAGGGAACCGCCAGAAGGCCCTTGGCGCTGGACCTCAGTGTCCAGGCAGAACCTTACATTGCTCTGCTTTAACAAAACAAACAAACACTAGAACACTTCAGAAATCTGCAGGCAGTATTTTGGACAGCTCCTCCTTGTAAGGCCTACTTGAAGTCTCATATCAAGCTACAAAGTTTTTAAAAATATAAAACAAGAACACACACCACTCAACAACCTCTTAATTATTTTAAGGAGCAGCAAGAAATAAAGCCTTGCTTTCCCCCCCAAAAATATGCAACTATTATAGATTTTGGAGTTATTGTTGGCCTAATAAAGTTAGTATTGCCCTAACATGGATTATGTAGGAAAGTTAATCCTTTTTCTTCTCCCATAAAAAGCCCCTGGCCCTATTTTTCTGCAAAATTTAATCCACTCTGGAGGGGTTCCTATGCATGTAAATTAATTCCACTTTAATCAACAGGGGAGGCGTTAGACAGTAGTTGTTTTTAGATATCCCATTTCAGTGAATGGAAACAGAGCTTCTTAGCTTGGAGCACAAAGCACAGACTGAAGCAGAGAGCAATTCAGAGACCAAATGGATTAAAAAGAAAGAAAGATGCAAATGCAAAACCAATTTTGGGGCCCATGCGCACCCATAAAATATGCAAGGGTTAAAAACAAACAAAGAAAGCTTTTGGACTTACACTGGAGCTAAGGCTTCCTTGCCATGACCTTGACACCCCTCCCTCCTGAAAGGTTTTGCTTCTAGGCCCCTGAAGCTGGCAGTGCACTAAGCCTTTTCTTGGCTGGAGTTCCTATCAGGGCTTGGCTCTAGGAAAGGTGGAACATTTTATGAGAGTGATTGTCAAACCGGATCACTACTTCCATGCACCTCATCAGCCTTTTTGTTTGGACCATTTAGGAAAACATGGCCTGCTTTTATTTCATTTGGGAGCTGGCTCCACTTTTGAATGCACTGTTGTGGTTCAGCAACTCTGGGTACTCTTTGGCGAACTCTCAAACTTATTATTCCCTCTATGAGATGAGGATGGGGGTAACGGGGACAATGAGTTCTCTTGCTTGATCACTTTAAGGGGGGAGCAAGAAAAATGAGTTGTTCCAGCAGAAAGAGCAGTTTAAGAAGGGTGAAGAGAAATGGTCTGTTTATGTAGACTCTACATCACGGAGGACATAATGAAGTTAAGGGAGAAAAACTATTCATGGCAAATAGTACATGTAGTATTGTGATGCAAAATTAAAAGATGCTGTTTGCAGAGTGTTTTCCCTTCATTTTCCCCCCCTTCACCACAGAATTCATTTACCACTGGCTGACCACAAGTCTGGGACCAGCTGGCTTATTTTGGCTTACACTGACAAGTGTTTACCAAACACAGTGGTACCTCAGCTTAAGAACTTAATTCATTCTGGAGGTCCGTTCTTAACCTGAAACTGTTCTTAACCTGAGGTACCACTTTAGCTAATGGGGCCTCCCGCTGCCGCCGCATTGCTGCCATGCAATTTCTGTTCTCATCCTGAAGCAAAGTTCTTAACCCGAGGTACTATTTCTGGGTTAGCGGAGTCTGTAACCTGAAGCGTCTGTAACCCGAGGTACCACTGTACTTGCTATCATTGTTCATCCAGATGTGGGTCTTATATCACAACTGTGTTCTTCCATTCCAATGTTTCACTGTGCCTCTTTGATATCTTAGCTTCCGCATATTCCATTTCCCCCCAGTCATGTATATTCATTGCTATTCCACCATTTTCCATCCACACCAGTTGCCAGAATTTGATGGAATGTACCCTGAGAGGGGGTGGTTGTATGTCTCTGCAATCATAGAATGATGGAATTGTAAGGTTGGAGAGGACCTCCAGTCCTCTGCAGTGCAGGTATCACACTAAAGAATCCCTCACAGATGGACATCCGACCTCTTCTTAAAAACCTCCAATGAAGGAGACTCTGAGGGAGTCTCCTCCACTGTCAAACAGCTCTTACCATCACAACATTCTTCCTGATGTTTGGTCGGAATCTCCTCTCTTGCAAGTTGGATCCATTGGTTCAGGTCCCACCCTCTGGAGCAGCAGAAAACAAGCTCACTCCATATTCCTTCAGACAGCCCTTCAGATATTTGAAGGTGGCCATCATTTCACCTCTGTCTTCTATTCTCTAAACTAAACATACCCAGCTCCCTCAACCGTTCCTCATAAGGGTTGGTTTCCAGATCCTTTATTGTCTTGATTGCCCTCCTCTTTATGTGTTCCAACTTAGCAATATCCTTCTTAAACTGTGGTGCCCAGAACTTGACCCAGTACTCCAGGTGTGGTCTGACCAAGGCAGAATAGAGTGGTACCATTACTTCCACTGATCTCACACTATACTTCTGTTGATGTATAACATAATCACTCCACTCACCATAGCTGTCAAGTGTCCCTTATTTAAAGGGACAGTCCCTTATTCCAGCGCCATGTCCCGCTGCTGTCCCTTATTGATGGATGTCCCTTAAATGTCCCTTAAATGATGTCCCTTAAATTTCAAAGGAAGCAGCTCCTCTCCCTCTCTCCCTGCCGGCCAGGGAGGAGGGAGGCTCCAACTGTGTTGCTTGGCTGCATTGCTCACCCAATAAGAAGTCTAAGAACGACTGGGGGGTGGAGCTTGCATGCCTTGTGTGTGGCTAGTTAATGCAAGCTGAGGAGGTTTTTGAATGCTGGACGCCATTTTGTTGCACGTGCTGCTGCAAACTTTGCAGTGCAAAGCCAGGCCGGGAGCCATCTTAAGTTGAGGCTGCATAGGCCTTGTGGTGCATGTGATTCAGATTCTATTCAGTTGAACCTCTGGTTACAAAGTTGGTTGGGCAGTGTTCTCAAAGCTACCAGCATGAGTTTGACCAGACTGCAGGAGGACAGGAAGACTGGAGTGCCTGGAACAGGTGAGGCTGCAGGTCCCTTATTTTGGCTGCTGGTCCCTTATTTTCAAGGCTGCTGGTCCCTTATTTTCAAATCTTTAAGTTGACAGCTATGCCCCTCACCCTCCACTGCCTTTTCTCCCCTCTGGGCATATGCACTGGCATTTCTGTATTTGAACACGCACACACCTTTTTAAATTAAAAGTGTGCAAGAGGAAAGGTTACTAGTCTTATTTATCATGTTTCACAATGGGCCAGATGGGAGATTTTGCAGCCATCCAGGCCTCTCTCTCTCGCTCTCCAGGCTATGCTTCCTCACCAGCCACACTCCTTAACAACCCGGCTTTGCATCCTCAAGTGTTTTTGCCTGGCTGGAATGTGTCCTTGCACTTGCCTGAATGGGGGATGGTGTGGGTGGGTGGGGGTGTAGAAACTAGCCTACTGCACAAAGGTAAACATTACACTCACTGCTTTTCTCACTTTTGCCTGTGACCCCGAATGGTTGCCCAGAAGGGAATGAGGCCCTCGGACAGAAAAAGTGATGAATGCAACGAATGTCATGTTTACCTTTGCATGGCAGATGACACCGTCTGTTGCCAGCGCTGCTACCCAGCACAAGAGGTCAACACCCACATACAGTGGTACCTTGGGTTAAGCACTTAATTCGTTCTGGAGGCCCATTCTTAACCTGAAACTGTTCTTAACTTGAGGTAACACTTTAGCTAATGGGGCCTCGTGCTGCCGCCGCACGATTTCTGTTCTCATCCTGAAGCAAAGTTCTTAACCCGAGGTACTATTTCTGTGTTAGCGGAGTCTGTAACCTGAAGCGTCAGTAACCTGAAGCATCTGTAACCCAAGGTACCACTGTATATGACGGCTGGAGCTTAAACTCCAGCAGAGTCGGACTGCCCTAGTGGTGATGTGAGGGACAGCAATTGGATTGACTCTACACCCCCTCCTCCAGAAAAGCTGTAAAGCTGGGCACTAAGGTGGGGGAAGGGTGCATGGGCATTTGAAAATTGGCAAGAACAGGCAGAACCCTGTCCTGATCCCTAAACAACATCTTCCTAAGATGCATCTGGAGCCGATAACTAGGCAAGAGATGGCCAAGGGGGGAAAGATGAATGATGAGCAAAACGAACACCTCGCTGTGTTGTGGCTTCGGCTCCAGCCGCTGCTGCCTCTGAAATGCCTGCTGCGTGACCTTGAGCAGGCTGCTTCGTATGCGATTTTGATGGTGCAATCAATTAGTGTTTCCCGCTGCTTTGAGATCCCCCAGATTAAAGGCCTCCGAAATATCGCTGCCAGGCTTATTTACAAAGAGCAGAAAGGGGATCTGGAGGCAGCTTCTGTTTCAGTTTTTTCCCCCTCGGCCTTGACTGTGTAAGGGACACTGGCCCGGTGAGGGCGCTGGGTGCTGTCCTGAATGAGAGGGGGCGGAAGGGGAGAAGGAAGCTGTAAGAGAGAGGCTGGTATCAGGAAGGTGCCTTTTGTAAGGAGAGAACATTTTCTTCCAGGGCAGAGAAAGGCATTGCCTGCGGCACTTTGCATTCTCCATTTTTCCTTTCCATCTCCGCCACCCCTCCACTCAGACCTGTCCCTCCCCAGGGCTCTCTTTTCACAAGACTTTGGTTGTTTAAGCCTAGTCCCCCCCCCCACCTGCCGCCGCCGCCTCCCCAGGGATATTTCTGACGTTAATACCTCTGAAGCAAAGAAAGATAACAGCGGCAGCAGCTTGCTTCTGGTATTGCTAACTGCTCACATAACAAAGAAGGAGGGGGAGGTCCATGTTCCCTCCAGCGTGAGTTAAGAAAGCAGAGAGTTGGAGATGTGCAAGGTTATCAGGCAGACAGTTCCATTTGTTCTGTGCTGTGCACTCTGCTAAGGGGGGGGGAAATGAAGTACAGTGGTACCTTGGGTTACAGACGCTTCAGGTTACATACGCTTCAGGTTACAGACTCCGCTAACCCAGAAATAGTACCTCAGGTTAAGAACTTTGCTTCAGGATGAGAATAGAAATTGCACGGTGGCGGCTGCAGGAGGCCCCATTAGCTAAAGTGGTACCTCAGGTTAAGAACAGTTTTAGGTTAAGAACAGACCTCCGGAACGAATTAAGTTCTTAACCTGAGGTACCACTGTACAGTATTCTGTTCAAAAGGAAGAGTTCTACAACTGGCTCTAGTTATGCAAGTCAAGCCATTACCATACCACTTTCTTATTCTAAACCACCCTATGATCTTTGGGTGAAGGCCAGTATAGAAATTTAATAAATAATAAGAATATTCTGCAGGATTTGTCCTGCTTCTGTTAGTATTTTGCAAGGCACTAAAGTCCTCCTGGCTGCTTAGCACAGGAGTGGGGGACATAGATTGATAAAACTGAAGAGTTGGAAGGGACCCCAAGGGTTAATCTACTCCAACTCCCTGCAATGCAGAAATCTTTTTGCCCAGCGTGGGATAAGAAATTCATGACCATGAGGTTAAGAGTCTCATGCTCTACAGACTTTGCTATCCATGTGGCATTCCGGGGTTTCCCACAATGCCTCTGCCATAGCTGTGCTTTGGAGCATTATGTAGAATGTAAATGATGGCCAGACTCAGCCATCCTGCGCTGTTTGGGCTTGTGGGTCAGGAATTTTTGTTTAAAGAGGGGGACCTCAGAGCAGGCAACAGTGATCATAGCAGGCACTGATCCCAGCCTTGACCCAGGTCATGGCTTCCTCCCGGACATGTGGCTTGCTTTCGGGTCCCCGTTAAGCCCAAATTCATGTGAATGCTCGTGGTTCCACTAATGAAGACCAGGCTGCCCTCAACATTCCTCAAGAGAATGTTTTCTCTTGTTTAGAGTTGCCATTGAATTTTGCCTG